AGCTTCTAGTTAGAGCGGCTCAGGTTATCCTGAGCTATCTCTATAGTTCTGCTGCTATAGGCTTAGACTGCTGGAGGACATAGGGACCCCTTTTTCATCATTCTGCTTCATTCTATCTCTATTCTCCCACTCTGCAGAATCTGTTAGTACAATCTCTAATGTTCTGCCCCATCCTTGAGAGAAATATCAGCTGTGCTGCTGCCATCAACACCTTTGTTTGTAGATGTTGGAGCTTGGCCTGTTTTTCAGTGTAGTCCTGTTTCTCTGACTGTGACTAACTGGATGTGCTCTCTTCATCCTCTGACATGGGAGCTGGCTCAGAGCTCGTCTGCCTGGCTGTGCGTTTCCTGGACGGGGCCGCCTGTGGAGCTGGTTCAGTGACGTGCGGTGAGGTTCATAGCTGGTGAGGCACTGACGTCATCAGAATCAGATTTGCAAATAGATGCATAGATTGACAGCAGTTTACAGGTTATGTTTCACTTCTGCATCCTTACACATACAAACTGTAGCTCACAAAACACACATTTCCTTAAAAAACAAAACAAAATAAATGTTATTACTGTCTTACCTTTACTTATAAATGAATAGAAGTCCTCCTTATCTTCCTTCAGTTTTAAAAGTCTCTCTGTCTCAATGGAGATCACTGCCAGGGAAGAAAGCCTTCCTTGATCCGTCCTGTTCCTGCCTTATGTTTTCAGTCTCTTGAGCACCCCCTGCCATGAGGCAAGAGAACTGCCTGCCTCACCTCGAACTTGTTCTCTGCCGTTTATAATCGCTCATTACACGAAACACGTTACACAAACACAGTTGGTGACAAAAAGCTCTGTACATTATATACATAAGCCAAATTATTAGAAATAAGTTCACATATTACATTTGTTTAAACCATTTTATTGACGCCGTACAGCAACATGCTCTCTCCGCTTTGCAGCCAGCGCAGAGCCAGGGGTTGCGCAATCCAAGGTGAGGCAGAGCTCGCTGCTGCCTCACCGGCATCGCTTCCAAGCATTTGAATGGGAAAATAAGAAAATTCAGCGATTTTGAACAAATAAAAATCGAAATTGGTGAAGCTACATGAAAAATGAATATTTTTTAGTACAAACCACCGGATGAATATAACAATTTAAATTACTTTATGATTATATATTTTCTTTCTTTCCATGATGGCTGGTGAGGCACTGCCTCACCTGCCTCCCCTGACCGCACGTCACTGAGCTGGTTGACAGTTGCCTTTTGTGTTTCAGCTTCTGAATCGTTGAACCCCAGTCGGCCTCGGCACTGAGGCTCACACCGAGCCTGGTTCTGCTGGAGGTTTCTTCCTGTTAAAAGGGGGTCTTTCCTCTCCACTGTCGCTACAAGCATGCTTAGTGTGAGGGATTGCTTTCGAATCTATCAGTCGATGCAATCAGATGGTTTTCCTTAGAAACTTCAAATCAATTTGACTGTGTGATCTGGTTAAATTGTAAATGTAATTCTTACATACTGTAATCATTGATTTACTTTGAAATACTTTGAAAGTGTTCATATCACCTAATTTGTAACCACTGTATGTTATATGCTTATTATGTTATTCTTTGAAACTCCAGTATTTGTGTATCACTTACTAATATTACATAATTTTCTAAGATATAAAATCAGTTGTCATGAGTAGTAAGTAGATCAGTTACTTGTGCTTGATTAGCCCCTTTTACCAACTGCTTTTATCTTGAATATTTTCTTTAAAGGATACATTTGACTTTTACTTGAGGTAAACTATGATGAAGCAGTGCTATTCTTACTCAAGTACTATTTTAGGATACTCTACCCACCTGTGATTAGAAACAAATAGACTCATGAAAAGTTTATTTCTCAAAGCTGCTAAGGCAGTCATCTCCCTGCTGGTAGTAACTAAACGTCCCTGAAGCCCATTTCCGCACAAGCTGCACTTTGTTTAAATACTACAATCAATGAACATCTGTTCTTGTGTTACATATTCAGTCTCCTCTAAGGATGCTTGTCATTTAATAAGTGTTATTAACCTATGTTGTGTATTATATGTGTGTTTAGAGTCAGTGATTCTTAGAAAGCTGTCATTATGGTGACATAACGAAAATAAAAACTATGAGGGCATAAGGCTCAGAACAGGGTGTTAACCTTCTGCCTGCGAATAACCCAGGTTAATGAGTGTTTGGGGGGAATCATAGAGACAGAGTGAGTCGTATAAGTGCATACCATGAACATTGTTGTTGTAACTGTGATGTCATCAAACACATTTCTTCCATCTAGCCGTGATAAACCATTAACTTTTCACTAATGCAGATAACTCTCCATGCATGAATGTTTACTGCATGGTTGAATTCAGATCTTACCTTCCGACAGAAATTGACTGTGCTGCTTTAAGCCCACTCTTGTTTATTCCATCAGCACTTTTGACAACTACCTGCATATTCATGTCGCACTAGTTATGGTGACCACGGACACCTCAACAACCCACCCCGTCTATGATTAGTTGGCTAGCAAGTTTCGTTTAAATTGTCTGATTGACAGATGAAATATAGTAATGATAAAAAGTTTGCCACTCCAGTGTAAAAACCAAAAACCTGATAAAATAAACATTTTCCAGTCCAGGGTGGGAACAAGTGGCTATCTGTGTGGGCACGGCCCGCCTATGCCTGCCCCTTGCCACAGGGAGTGTCTTTCTGGTGCCTTTAAGCCTTTCAGCAAATGTGTTGGAGGGTTTCCAAAAGGTTTCCACTCGAAACCAAAATGTTAAATTTTTTTGGATCCTTTGACAACCACTTTTGTGAGGCAAAGTGTACTTAAATTAGCATTTTATAAAATGATGGGAAACACTAGAATCCAGGAGCAGTGGGCAAAATTTAAGTCCCTCTAATAGTGCACTAAATGAATTACAAACTAAAGACTGGTACCTCCCCTTCACTTCTTCTATTCCTTCTGAACGGAGCAAAAACATCCTCTGTTTTAGTTGTCAATTCAGCTGAAATAGAAAAAAAAAAACAATTGAAACATAGGGAACTTTTCTCTTAAAACAGTACTGTAAGGGTGCGATCACATCAAACATTTTTACAGCAAAATTTTCACAGAGTTTGTCTGCTTTTGCTGGCTTTGAAATAAGCTTGGCCAGTGAAAGCAATTCGCTAAGCAGGTAAATTTGCTCTGGGGTGAAAGGCTCCCGAAAACCTTCAGGGTCAACGTCTCTGGGTTCACAATGTTCTCCAGAGATGGAATAAGTATAGAGAAAATCGAGCTCTGCAAGCGTGCTCTGTGTTTACGGAAGTAAGCATGGACAAAGAGGGTAGACGGTCCACCAATGAAGCACAAAGTGGAAGGATCTACGGTTGTTTTTGCTGGTGTTAAACTAATCCACCTACTGCCTTTTAAGCTATGAGAACTTTTTCATATTTTGATGTGATGGTAATAGATTTTAATAGGATGTTTTCATTAAACCAATACTTGATTTTTGCGAATAAAAATAGAAATGTTACACACAGTCCCTTTAAAGGAATAGTACACCCAAAACATGATTAGCCTTCATTTTCTACTCACCCCCATGCTGAACAACACTCTGGAGTACTTTTTTGATATCTCAAATGCATCTGGAGATCTGGGAGGCTTCTTGCTGTCTGCTGACATTCAAATAATGGAGGTCTATGGCGCCCGAGGCAGAAAGGTCCATAAAAGTCCACAAAAAACGTGTCAAAATTCCTCCATACTGCTCGTCCAATGTATTCCAAGTGTCCTGAGTGGGTAGCGTCCAGAATTTACTCGAAACGAAGTCATTTAGAATGTTTTTAGAGCATAAACAGTAGTGTATAGGATTTCCTAAAAGCGCGCGCCTGCAAGTTCACGAGTCTACGGAAACCGCGGCAGACCAAACCAGACGAAAGTGCGCATTCAGCGTCTGCTCTGCCGATAATGCAAGCGTAGAAGAAGAAATGTGCTGTTTACCTGTGCAAAGAAAGAAACAACGAAAGAAAAATGTCTGAGGACTTCAGTGTTGAGGAAGAGCATGAGTTCTTTGCCGAGCTGAATGCGCACTTTCATCTGGTTTGGTCTGCCGCGGTTTCCGTAGACTCGTGAACGCGCTTTTAGGAAATCCTATACACTACTGTTTATGCTCTAAAAACACTCTAAATGACTTCTTTTCGAGTAAATTATGGACGCTACCCACTCAGGACACTTGGAATACATTGGACGAGCAGTATGGAGGAATATTGACACGTTTTTGTGGACTTTTATGGACCTTTCTGCCTCGGGCGCCATAGACCTCCATTATTTGAATGTCAGCAGACAGCAAGAAGCCTCCCAGATCTCCAGATGCATTTGAGATATCAAAAAAGTACTCCAGAGTGTTGTTCAGCATGGGGGTGAGTAGAAAATGAAGGCTAATCATGTTTTGGGTGTACTATTCCTTTAATGAAAAAAAAAAACAAAAAAACGGACACGTTGAGGTTTTGAAAAGCCTTTCAGGCCTTCAACTTATTTTTTCAATTAAAAATCTTTCCAGGATTTTAGGGACCCGATAAGAACCCCGATGAGAGAAATAAAATGCCTAAAACCTTTGTGCTAAAGCTGGAGTGGCGAGCTTTTTGTTAGGCAAAGGCCTCATCATTTTGGAAAGATTAACTTTAATGATAAAGATTTAAGCCAGTTTACCAACTCCTCTGCAGTCAGTTCCTCTCATCACTGCAATTTAATTCAGTTTATTTATATACAGTAGTGCTAATTCACAACAAGTTATTTCAGAGCACTTTAAGGAGACAATTCAATAAACTCCTACCCTCACATTGGTAACAGGAAAGGCTATTTGGCTGAACCTGCTGTCATTAACACTTATTTATGTTAAAATAACTTTTGAGTTATAGTGAAGTTTTTTAAAAACTATGTTAGTGACAATAATTACACTCGCATTTAAAAATGAAATCCTAAAACAGGGCTGACACCCTGTTACTTAAAACATGATGAAAAGTATCACTTAAGATGGAAAATAAAAACACAAGACCATTAAAAATATGTTTTATTTAATATTTGAAAAAGTTAAAAAAAGAAATGAGTTTTAGACGGCAACATTCCTTAGCTCTTTGTTTTTAAATCAGCTTTGATTCTCTGATGTTGCTGAAGGGCACACTGGTCTGATGTCTGGATGACAACTCTCTGAAAAATAAAACAGAAGAGATAAACTTCTTATTCAGTTAAAATGAACATTGCTGTTTCACTGTGTTTCATAAAGTCAGAGCAGCTGTTTAGCAGGAACTTCTTTAAACATTCCTCTGCTGATGAGCTGCCCCTGCTCCAAACCCCATAGAAATGTGTTAGAAAATATGAGACATCATTTAGATCGGAGCTCTTCAACAGGGAGTCCGCGACCCCGAGGGGGTCCACGGAGGTACTCCATGGGGGTCGCAAAAGTTTTGGTTAATTAGACTGTTTTTTATATTCCCCCCGCAATTTTTTTCCACCAATTGAAATGTCTTTAAATCCATATTAGCATTAATTCAACAGACTGTAGTAAACAGATAAATGGAGGCAGAAGATGTCTTTCAGTCATCAATGCTCACATTCAGCGACACACAGGAGCTCTTTCAATCTGGACACCGTTTCATTCACAACACCTGTCCCATCAACCAGGAATAAAATTCAGAAATACTTTAATAATCCCAGGAAATTACTTTTCATTATTCCATATGTAATAGAGTGACTATAGTACCAGTTTGATAGAACGCAATTTCATACAATATATATAATTAGGGGGTCTCCGCTCCATCTCACCATCAGTTTGGGGGTCCTTGGCCTGGAAAACGTTGAAGACCCCTGATTTAGATGACACACTGCACCCATTTAACTTATTCCTATTCACAAACTCATAACCTTTTTATCAGAGCAGTTCCACTGTGCGATGTGTTTGAAAAAGTGAAACCATCAAAATGAAACCATCTAATATACAACCAAAAAACAAACAAACTACAAAGTAGATTAGATAAAGAGCAGGAATGTACGACAAAGTTTAATAACTACTTTGCTGTACTGCTGTACTTTGCAACCGCTCCCAGGGGGATAGGTTACTCGCAGAGGATGTGGCTTTGAAGTACTGCTTCCACATCCAGTGCAACTGCGGCGTTGTGCTAGATTTGACTGCAGACATTTTGAGTGTCAGGGGCCGCCAGTTTACATGAGAAGTCTGTTGTGGACGTGCATTAAATCAAGTCCAGTGATACTTTTTTCACCATCTGGGGCAGTGGAGGCCTAGTGGTTAGGGCATAGAGCTTGGAATCCTTACATTCTGAGTTTTAGCTCCACTCGCATAGACTGCCACTCTGGGTCTCTGAGCAAAGACCCTTAACCCCACACTACTCCCCGGGTGCTGCACGATGGCAGCCCACTGCTCCCCAAGGGGATGGGTTAAATGCAGAGCTAAATTTCTTCAATGTGAGATCAATAAAGTTCAATTATCATTATAGCAATTGTTTAAGTGCTTCAAGCATCGGGCATTATGAGTTTTTAAGATAATCAGTTGCTAATTTGGGAAAATCTGAAATTTAGCAGCTAGAAGCCATGCATCAAATAATCCAGGAGCTGTCAGGGAGGATCGATGCTTCCAAGCAGTGATTTCTGCTCAAATCCTTGAGGACCGGTGTCCTGCAACTTTTCTTGTTTCGTTTTGCTCTGAATCAATTAGCCATTCTAGCTCATATTGGACTCAGGTGTATTGAAACAGAGACATCTAGAAGTTGTAGAACATCTGGCCCATGAGGATCCCCGGCCCAAGTGTACACACCAAGTTTACGCAAAAAGCCAAGACAGTGCTCTGATCGCTCCACCATATTATTTTCTTACTGTACTCTGGCAAAACAGTTTATAAATAAGACCTACATTAACCTACAATATCAACACTTGCTGGTGGAAAAGGTTTGATTTTATATTCTGGTACTTGCATTTTTTGAACACATATTCATATTCACTACCACGCGTTACAAATGGTAGAGGGAAATCCCAGAGAGCCTGATCCCGGAGGTAGCCATCAATGGATTCCCAGTGACATCCAAAAAGCTTCTGATGGGTGTTGAAAACAGATTTGATGTGAATGCAGCATTAGAAGGCTGCAAAGTTAGTTTCCAAACCTTTTTGGATTAAAAGGTTTTTCAGAGTAAAATTTCTGGATTGGGTTTTTCTTTATTTTTATTTACAAAATATGTCCTTTGCAACAATATCGGCGAAAAATTTACTCCATATAAACTTTATCCCATTTTATGTAATTTAATAACTTTTTACTTGATGGGGTGTTTTACCTGGTGCCATGTATGCTATGATAAGAGCTCAGAAACACTGAGATAAAAGCATCAGGTTATTTACTGCAAACAATCAGATGAAACAATCAAACCATGGGTTGGGATCTGCTAACCTAAGCTAAGCTTGAACAAATATGATGGCAGGACAGAAAAGTGAGATAAAGAAGGAAAACCCACCTTAAGAGAGATTTATTTAGATTTTCTTTCCTTTTTTTTTAAATCAGCCAAGAACTTAGTGAAGTTATTTCCTTTGATTTAGGTTAGTGTTTCCTTCTTTGAACGGCTAATAATTTTCCCACCAAATGTCTTTCTGACAGCTTGGTGACAAGGTCTACCTTTCTGAAACTGAGACAAAAGACTCTGTCATACATCACCAACCTTTACAGCTCTACATCTCCCCCATCCTTACTTCTGCAGGTGTTGGCAGTACAGTATCAGATACAATCTAACATATGGGCAAAGGAAGTAGTGGGAAGTTACTAAAGCACTCTAGCGTGACAGTCTCTTTAAAACATGGGAGTTTTAGAGCAGGGTAACCATTAAGATCATTTTACATTCCTTTCCTCAGCTTAGTAAGAATGGTAAAGCTTTGGCTTTCAGTCAATAAACAGAAATATATTATCCAATTGTGCAGGTCACGCAACTTAAACCTTTTAGTAACTCAGACCTTTTAGTTTTCATCATATAAGCTTTACAATGAGAATATCAATGTACTACTTATGCTGTTTATAATGCACATAATGCATATGTTATTGCTCCCTAAATGAATCTGCTTTTTCTTTTTCTTTTCAAGACTTTGGTTTCGACTTGCTGAATGTCACTTGGACAATTTACATCCCTGAACGTATAAATCCCATCAGGGCTTTAAGTTCCAGTGATCTAGAGTTGTTTATTGTCCCACAATGAAAAACTGAAGGAGTCAGAGTCGTTTCTTCTGAGGCCCCAAGAATTTAAATCTCTGCTCTCTTCAAGTGGACAATTAAAAACGTATCTTTTTAAAGCTACTTTTGTGTAAACATTGAGTTTTTGTATGTATTTTGTTTGTTGAAGCACTTTGTTTTTATTATCTTAAAAGCTGCCATATAAATAATAATAAATACAATCTTCTGTGATTTTAAAATTAAGTTAATTAAATCTTGGTAAGTTTAGATGTTTGATTTAAAGCGCAATTAATACTAAAGAATTAGAGAGATGAACAACTATGACAAAAAGCCGACTGCATTTTAGTGAAATTATTCCAAATTGGCCTAAATTATAGTTTTCTGTCCAAGCTAAAAGATTTCCACCTGACTCATATCTCTGCTAGTTCTATATCTATTGTGGAGTGACATCAACGAACAACATATAAAGAAAAATAACAAAGTGTCAGATGTGTTGAGAATGGAGAACAAGAAAGTAATAAGAAAAACAACCATGTAAAAAAAGAAATACCTCTTTACTCCCTGCTCCCCGGAGGACATACAGTGTCCATTGTCCTTTTTTTCTCCAGGCTCCATTTCCTTTTATAACCTCTATGGTGTTAGTATTACAGCAATTGACTCTGACCTTTTACATCCCTTTTCCCCCACATTCCCTACACAGAATTTCAGTTGAACCAAATTTATTCAGCATGTTTGAAGATTTGAAACATCTTAAGACATGTTCTTTGGGAATATTTCCCAGTAATACCTTTTATATCTTCCAAAAGGAAATGACAAATTCTTTGTCACCATGGAAGAAAAATTTAACTGTAAATGAAATTGTAATTTACAGTCAACAAGCTGAATCAACCTTATGTGAACAGCTGCCATGAGGGGAGTTACCCCTTTCTCTTTAGCTTTCACACGGTTAGGTGTGGTTCCTTTATGGCTGAACAATTTTTCACTAAACTACATTTGTACATGTTAGCTTCGTTTACCTTTCATGAAAAATACAAAGGTGTGGACAAAAATGAACTACATTTCTGTATTCTGTTTAGGGCTGCAGCAATCAATTTTAGTCATCTGTTAATCGTTTTTTGTTTTGTTTTTTTAGATTAATTGATTAATCTAAAAAGAAGATACTTATAGAACTCACTGAAATTATCTATTGTAAATGCAGCTCGAATGAAACTACAAAAAATAAAATTCACTTAAATTTGTACATTTGTTTTGGTCTGTGTAACTTGCATAACAATGATGCACAGTGGCTAAAAGACCTAAGAGCTGACTGTGCTGAGGAAGTGGACAGCACCAGGCCCAGACATGATCCACACCTACTGGCTAAAGAAGCTGACTTCTCTCTATGAACGCCAAGCAGCGAAGACCTAGGAAGAACTAGCTGTTCAAGAGCAGGCCCCCCCCTCCAATGGCCTAACAGATAATGAAAGACTTCAAGAAGGGGACAGTGCCAAACAAATGTCTCTCCACAAAATGGAAGCTCCTACCAGGCATCATAGCAGCGAAGATCAGTGGCCACATGGATCAACACATGACAGAGGCACAGAAAGGCACTGGTAAAAACACCAGAGGAGCCAAACACCAACCGCTGGTTGACAGGTCACCTGAGACTGCTAAACCATGGTTGATTACAAGAAAGCCTATGGCTCAATACCACATACGGACCCTGGAATGCCTGAAGCTATACAAGATCAACAGCACTGGTGCTGTGGGAAACCACACGTGAGGCCAACTTCAAGCTGCTTGCATAGGCCTGAACCCCATCAGCCAAATAAAAACAATACTGGCAATGGATACAGACTCAAAAATATGGCCACTATCAGCCACCTCCTGTAAATGGATGACATCAAGCTGTATGCTAAGAGTGAACGAGACATTGACTCGCTGATCCACACCACCCGGATCAAACGGCAGGGACATTGGAATGTCATTCGTGCTGGAGAAATGTGAC